GATGCTCAATGCAGGAGCTGCCCCCAGCCCACAGGCCTCGACCTGCAGGGGTGGTGGGGGGCAGGGCCGGTGAGTGGGTGGCGCCAGGCCATCCAAGGCAGCTGCAAGTGCCCCCCCCCCCATCACCCTGCCGGTTTCCCCACAGATTGGCCCTGATCGCTGGCCAGGCCTAGGGACCCTACCCATGCACGAATGTTGTGCACCGGGCCTCTAGTATTTATATAATAGTCCAATCCACAAAAACAGAATATAATTTTTTTTGAGTTTACATGAAACAGTAACCATGATAGACCATATTGTGAGCCATAAAATGTTTCAATAAATGTAAACTATATTTTTTGACATACTAGATTCAATTCAGAAAACAATAATAGAAAGATATCTGGAAAAATCCCCGTGTATTTGGAAATTAAGACAATTTTACATTATTGCAAATTGGATGAAAATGATGTGAAAGTCTTAACTGTAGATTAGAGATTATTTTTATTTATCCTTATAGTGTTTTCCTGAAGCTCTGCACTAAAGCTTTATAGGTTTATGTTGAGACCAGATCAAAATTCTGTTGCCAAATAGATTAAGCAGAGTTTTATTGAAATAAGTATTATTCGTTTGTATATTAAAAATGACCGTAGGTCTTTTCAGAGCGAGGGAGGAGAGAGGAAAGAAGGGAGAGAACTAGAGAGGGAGTGAGAGAGGGAAGGAGGGAGGGAGAGATTTCAAAAATATTATTGGAGTTGCTGCCACAGTAAAAACTATTCAGACATAAAGAGATCATACCTTCCTGAAGCCCAAAGCAACACAACTTATCCTCAAAAGAGCCACAAAAAGATAACAATGTCTAATTTTTGTTCATATCTTTTTTAAAAATATATTTTTATTGATTTTAGAGAAGAAGGGAGAGGGAGAAAGAGAGATGGAAACATCAATGGTGAGAGAGAATTACTGATCGGCTGTCTCTTGCACGCCCCCTACTGGGGATCGAACCTGCAACTCAGGCATGTGCCCTTTACCGGAATCAAACTCGGGACCCCTCAGTCCACAAGCTGATGCTCTATCCACTGAGCCAAACCAGCCAGGGCTATTCATATCTTTTAACTGTAAAAATATTTTACTGTAACTATCTCTAAATCCCCAGGAATAATGTGACTGATTTAGTCATTTGTTAAGTGGAAGTGATTATACACTAGTTATATATTAATTTAAGCATCATAATAGATGTTATAATCTTTTTATCTGCTAATCCTCTAAAGTTTTTTATAAGTTCGAGTTTAGAGATGAAAAATCTGAGGCAGAAAGAGATTAAGTAAGCAACTTGCACAAAGTCACACAACAGTAAATGGTAGAGAGAATACTCCAATCTAGGTCTTTGTGACTTCAATACCCAAATTCCAGAATTTAGGTGATAAAAGAGATTTCCTTCTTTTTCTCCATCCATTCCTTAAACATTTTAGCTTCCCTAGCAGCAGTGAAAAGAACAGAGCCCTTTGCCTTTGTAAAGTTAAGTTTCCCTTGGTGGAGTGAAAACATGAATGAGTTATTTAGACATTTGTCAGCCTTTGTCCCAAGTAGAGGAAAACTATGTGCAGATGCCAAATAACCAGTAACTCTGGTAGAATTATTAGGTAATTTTTGATCAAGTGAAAAGTTTAAAAACTTCTCAAAGGGGATATGCTTTACAGAACAATATCCAGTGTGGAGCATGCATGGCTTAGATGCTAAGTTTGAAGTCATGGGCATATGATGTGACCTACCTCTGAACAACTCTGTTCAATTAGGTGTGAAGTTTTCTTTTCTTTCCAACTCACACTGCTTGGCATGAGCTTAAAATCTGTTTACCTTGTTAGCTTAAATAAGACATTCCTATAATTTGACTCTCATGGATCTCTGAGTTCAAATTCCATAGCACCCCAAGTGTTAGAAAACTTTTGATGAATGTAATTGGACTTTTGTACAAGAAAAGGCTCTTCCATGGAGCATGCTGGCTCAGTGTATTTCAACTTATTAATACCAGACTAGGTGACAAGAACATAGAGCTGAGCTTGTAGTTAATGAGACCATGCATGATTTCAGCGTGTCTCTTTTCAGCCCTAAAGGAGAATTAGCCCTTAGTCCTTAGACAGACAGACTAGGGTTGAAGGAGGAAAATTGGAAAGGTAGATTGGGTGTTTATTTAGGAGGACTTAGGATTCGCCCACCAACTGCCTGCAGAGAAATGGTCAAAAATAAGATGTTACATGTTGCATTACTTTGTGGTAGAACACAGTGATTCACTCCAAGTCAACACATGTGTATTAAGCTCCTACTATAGTTGCATAGACAGTAAAAAGATGACTGTTTATTCCACAGTCTTAAGGGGTTTTAATGCTGGAATGTTGTAGGACAGGTAAATTAACAGCCATCTATAAGACAGCACAAGAACGGTATCTTAAAGGAGAAACAAAGGACTATGAGGATCCGGGGGAAATACTAAATCTCCTTTAGGGGAGATATAGGCCCTAAAGGAGAATTAGCCCTTAGTCCTTAGACAGACAGACAGACTAGGGTTGAAGGAGGCAAATTGGAAAGGTAGATTGGGTCCTTATTTAGGAGGACTTAGAATATGGAACTGGGTATTTGTAGTTCAAGAGACATTATTGATGTAATGGCACTGATTTACCATAGTTATTGGTACCCTAGGGAATATACATTAACCAAATGCCCCCAATGTCTTCTCACATAATTTTGTCATTTATAATGGTTACGTAGCATTTCATTATATGGATTTATCAACAGTTACTTAACCATTCCCCTATTGTGGGACCTATTGGCTGTCTCTAATATTCTCCAACTGCAGTAATTATTTAATGACCTTCTTTTGCTCATTTATTTTTTATCTTTCACATTACTTCCATAGGCTAGAGCAGGGGTGGGCAACCTTTTTGTGAGTGCGTGCCAAAACCAGCAAAATCTCTGACTCAAAATTCTTCTGCATGCCAACACTAATTTTTTGAGAACATGTTACG